CAACTAGTACAAGAATGTTTTCAGAAACTCGGACATTATTTTTGCCAAGTAAAGATTGTCAGAACATCGTTACAAGGAGACTAGAGTGAGGATGACCTAACCGTGAGTGCCAAAGATCCCACTTACTATTTGAAAGACTCGAGAAACTAATAGGCAAAGACTCAGACCTGGACTGACTACTGACAGATCTATCATGACCAGGAATGAATGATGATGGCAATGTTGGACGTTCTTATAACTAATCCAAGTGGAAGATCCTCCCACGTTTAATCCTCTTTCCTATCTTCCTCCCCCTTTCAAATCCTGTGTCACACATCCAGACAGTTTAAACATAAAAGAACAACATTGCTCAATAAGTTGCCCAACATGTAGAGTATATGGCAAACTCAATTTCTCACTATCCACATGAACTATATATTTCAATTTACCATTTTCATGCGTCATGTGATTAAAGCACGCTGAATCGAGTAGCCAAGGTGTATTGTTACCTGAACCCTGAAGGGTAGTGAAGGCAGGACTAATCGCAGTCGGTAATGATCATTGTAAGGCCGAATTATCCATCTGTTATATATCAGAAGCTAACATCCCAGAGCCTGCTCCATGACTTTCGGCTTCTAACGTCATCGCCCGATTGTGATGAAGAACAACATTGGCTGAGCGAGCTACTGGTTGAAGCAAACTCAAACCTACTCACCCAGATCTGCGTGCTTCATTTCTCTGCCGAGATCGGTAGTCTAGAATCATATGTCTGCATCGCTTACAATAGACGCAGAAGTTGCGCCGGCGACAGTGCCTTTGAACGTGGCCTCTTTCGCGACAATGGTGGCATTCCAAGTCAGTAATTGGAATCCACTTTTGAAATAGTGGCTGATCAAGAAAAAAATGTAGACGGAGCAGCAGTAGCTGAGGCTGCCCCTGGACGGATATCAACTTGTGCTTGAGTTCGGAGACGAACCTCTTCACGTACCAAATGCGCCAAGACCCAATCAAATCAAAGATCGTCCTTATTCAACAGCATAGATCGGACTGACTAAAATTTCGGTCGAAGGCGCATCAGAAAGGTTAGAACCTGCGACTGTTGCCGCTCCACAATTGCATCAGCAGAAAGCGCCCTCGGGCGGAGAGCAGCTGTCAACAAGTCTTGTTCGGTCCAAAGTTCTTGGAGTAAATTGAAGTATTCAGTCACCAATTTATATCCTTGTTGCAGTCGATCAAAAAAAAAAAAGAATCCTGAATTGTCGTGCGGCGCTGACAGAGGAGTACGTAGATGAAAGATGTCGCCACATCCAAGGACCAGGATATCGGACCGGACCGGCCGGTCGGACCAAAAAAACCGGAAACTGGAACAGGCCCGACACAATAGGGGCTGTGTACCCTTCAAAATCCTGCCGGGCGGTATTTGCGGTCGGACCGCAATGGGCCGAAATTTTGGCCGGTTTTAATAAACCCGGCGATCCCTTAATTTAACTCAAACGGCGTTGTTTTGACACAAGCTAAAAAAATGGAAGAGAAGCAGAAACGAAAACCTACCTTCGACTGGCCCTTGCTAGCGCTCTTCTCTCTACACTCTCGTCTCCCCGCGCCGCTCTGCCTCTCGAACTCATTTCCATTTTCTCAGACCAGAGATCAAACACCACCGGAGACATCATCCTCCCCAGCAACCAAACACCACCGGCGACTCGTCCTCCCCAGCAACCGAAGATATCGTCGTTCACAGCCGCGCCGCGCCGGAGGAGAAAGAGGAGCTTTGTTGGTCGTTCCAAGCCGCGCCGGAGAAAGAGGATCTTCGTTCGTCTTTCCCGGCCGCGATACCTTCTACACACTGAGATTAGAGGTAGTGTTTGTTTTCTCCATCTCCCTTTGTCACTGCTTCTATTCTACTTTGTACAAAATCAAACGTAAACATTGAAATAGGTTGATTCATGGGTTAGTAAACAAAACTCAATTGATGACCTGGATTTGCCTATTTCTGGTCATACACTTCTTCATCCTCTCACGACAAAGTTTTCCATATTTTCAAGACTCTCGGTATGTGGCTTCACGTCAAATTTGTTCAGTATTTTCCCCTCCACAAAGACCTTTCCTGAGAAACAGTAAACCTGTTATTGTAATGAGTTTGTAGACTTCATGTTCAACTCTCTTTAAAGTTGACAAAACTATCTAGCAACAAGTAGCATGTACAGAATTCTGCAATTGCATAATGCTACTGTTGATATCCCGAGGAAGTAAAAGGAAAGACTATATCCTGCTAATTCACTTATAGTCGTATACAGGTTCCCACGTGCACACATTGTCATTGGTTTGCTGGTTACCACATTTTACCTGAAGTGAATGAAGATCCGTAGTAAAAAATTTGTGGGTGTTTACTAACATTATGTTTATTGTTTTTATTGTGACAGCAATGGCTAGCAGGGAAGAAACCCTGGCAGTTGAGCAAGGAGTAGCTTCTAGTAGACCACGAGTGTCAACAAAGAATGTACGGGCCAAAACTGATCCGACTTGGAATCATTGTACCTTTCATCTTGGGGAAAGGTTGAGGTACACACTTGCATATATTGTGAGAAAGTATTCAGAGGTGGAGGAATCACTAGAATGAAAAAACATCTAGCTGGAGTTAGTGGGGATAATGCTGTATGTACAAAGGTTCCTCCTGAGGCGAGCCAAAACTTGAAGAAACTTTTGACTGATTTTGAAGCTAATAAGAAGAAATCTAAACTTATCAAAGCTGGATTTAAAGAACTTCGTGAGACTAGTTCTTCTAGTGCACATGATGATGGTAACAGTTCTAAAAGAGTTGCTACGTCCACAAATGTGTCTACTGGATCAGTTGAAACTTTCTTTGCTCCACGATCAACTTCTGGTAGCCAGCCGGGAATAAAGAGTGCATTAGCAACTAAAGAAGCTTTATTGTATGTAGATCGAGCATGGGCTAGATGGTTCTATGATGCATGTGTTCCTTTAGAAGCAATTAAATCTCCACAGTTTAAAATTGCATTGGATGCTTCTTTAACCCTTGGTCCTGGTAATGGTGGTCCTACATATTATGCTTTGAGTTTTACTTTATTGGATAGCATTGTGAAAGAATGTCATATATTGATTGAGAATCTTAGATCTCATTGGAAGGAATCTGGATGCACTATTATGGCAGATGGTTGGACAGATAATAGGCATAGATCTTTGATCAACTTTCTGATTTATTCTTTTAATGGCACATGCTTTGTGAAATCCGTTGATGCTTCTGGTATGGTGAAGATTGGAACGAACTTGTTTAAGTTGTTTAGTGGGGTCATTGATTGGGTTGGAGCAGAGAATGTTGTGCAGGTGGTGACGGATAATGCATCTAATTATAGATCTGCAGGGAAGATGATTCATGACCATTATGGTAATATATATTGGACTCCTTGTGTTGCTCATACCCTGAATTTACTTCTGCAAGACATTGGATGGTTGCCTCATGTTAGGACTCTTGCATATCGAGCAACCAAAATCTCTAAATTTGTTTATAATCATGACCCACTTTATTACTGGTTGAAGAGAAGAGATAATTGGAAAGAAATAGTGAGGCCTGGAGCTACAAGATTTGCAACTACATTTCTGAGTTTGCAAAGTATTTTTGAGCATATGAATGACTTGGAGGCTCTAGTGATCAGTGAATTCTTTCAAGATAGTGAGTTCTCGAAAATGCAGGTTGGAAAGGATGTGAAGTCAATTGTATTGGATCAACAATTTTGGGTGGATTGTGACTTCATAGTTAAGTTGACAATGCCAATAGTGAAGTTACTTCGCATTGTGGATTTAGATAGTAAACCAGCTATGGGGTATGTACATGATGGGATGATTAGAGTCTCAAAAGCTGTGAAGGCTATTTGTGGAGATAAGGTGGAGCAGTACAAGCCTTACATAGACCTCATTAATAAGAGGTGGGATAAACATTTGAGCCGTGATTTGTTTGTGGCATCATACTTCCTTAATTCGGCTTTCAAGTATGCCAACGATTTTGAAGATACAAGGCCTATTAGAAATGACATTCTTGATCTTCTTGAGAACCAATCCTTATGTCCTGATACAGATGTGGTGCTTGAGAAGCTGACTTTGTATTCTGAACGAAAAGGTAATTTTGGGAGGAAGCAAGCAATTGATTCTGCGCTACAGCTACAACTAGGTAATTGAATTTTTGTACATTAATACTAGTTCTGTTTATTAAGAATTAAGATACTAACATGTATGCTTAATATGCATATAAGTAGTGGAAATGGTTTGGTATTGATGCTCCGAATCTGCAGAACTTGGCTATTCGCATTCTTAGCCAAACTGCTTCTTCTTCTGGCTGTGAACGTAATTGGAGTGTATTTGAGCGTGTGCACACCAAAAGAAGAAAGAAATTGCAGCACAAAATGCTTAGTGATTTGGTGTGTGTGAATTACAACTTGCGACTGCAGAATAGGTATGAATAAACTTGTGAATTATTACTTGTTCTAGTTTTTATATTTACTATTGAACTGAATCAATATATGCATTCCACTTTGACTAGAGAGTACTATGCCATGAAGAAGAAAGAATCATATGATCCCATATCTCTTGAAAGCATTCATTCTGATATTACTACTGAGTGGTTGATAGAAGAGAATGAAGGGGCATCTTCTAAAGACAAGGAATCAGATATTGATGAGCTCGATCGAGCACTTACAGAGGAAGGTGTGTGAATTAGTTATTATGATGTGAATTCTAATACGTCATAATTTATAATGTTTCTTACTTGTTTTTTTTGTATTGTAGTTAGTGATGAAGAAGATGAAGGAGACGTGTTCCCGAATGTTGACTTTTCTACATTTGGAGTTGCTTGAAGATATGGATTTGATTTCAAACAAAAGATCCAATTAGTAGTTTCTACTTTCTAGTTTGAGACATTGAACTTGTGGTTTGTGAACATTAAAGTTTAAACTTGTGGTTTGTGGAACATTAAGCTTGTGGTTTGTGAACATTAAGCTTGTGGTTTTGTACTAGTTTCTAAAAGTGTATTTGGATGATTATGAGGTTTATTAGGTATTGAAATCCATGGCCACATCCTGTTTATCATGGGAAACAGACGCAGACTCAAGTAAGTCGACGGACCGATGCATCCCAACATCCATGACCTCACTCTTGCATTGTTTTGAGCCCACATAGTGATCTCCTTCGAGTTGGCTTGTCACGCCAGGTGGTGCAGTAGTCCCATTCAGTATACCAAGTAAGCCCCTTCCTTCAACTAACACTCGGAGCTGGAACTCCCACAGGGAATAATTCGTTGAACTGAGCCGAACCTGAGGAACAGACAAATCTACTGTTGGAAGCCCTGATACATGTTTGTATATCAGAATGAATATCAAACTAAACAAAAATAGTAAGGAAATAAGAACACAGACGGTTTACTCGGTTTTCCTGATGATCTGGATTAATCCACAGGAGAGCTTAACACTCTCCAGGATACCGATATTATAATTCTCTCAAACTGTACATTTACTGCTCACAGCTGCGGAAGCTATTTATCTGAAAAACAACAAAGAAAGGTCGAACTCTAGGAGGCAAACATTGTCCAACGTTGTCTTCGTGCATGGGCTTCATGGGACTATAGATAGATGGGTTATGTACAAGTAGGCATGTGTCAACGTGGCAAATGGCATGATCTGCTAACAGATTGAACCTATATCATTAATTGGAAATGGGCACGTGTCCGCGCAATAACAGGTCGCCTTTGAAATTCAGGTGCTTGGGTCTTCAATGCTTGTCACCAGTATGTTTTGTTGGACCGAGCACTTGATTTTCTGGTTTATACTTCACGGGACACTAAAGTTTCAACTTTGCCAAATTTGAGAAATTGTCATAGATGCAGATGGTGAAATGCAAGCTAGTGAATATACTAAAGCAAAAAACAGTTTTGTATCCAATTCATTCCTATAACATCGAATACAAAACCCAAAAGGAAATCATTCGGCCAGAAAAACATTTGATAGTCAACTAATAATACCCCATTGGACATTTTATATATATATTCTTCATTTGTTGCTAACACTTTTTATAATAAAACAATAGAAAAAAAACCTTTTTCGTCCCTCCATCTGCAAACATCTCCTTGTCCCTCCGAACCTCGTTAGCATAAGCCCGATACTTGATCAATGAAGCAATATCTTTCAAATTCAAATGGGATGACATTGGGTCACAACCTGGGTTGTAATATTCACAACCCACCTTCTAGACATCAGATTCATCCGCTTTCCTCCATTTTCTAAATTGATAGACAAGATCGCATTAACGGAAATTTTGGAACCAAAATAATACCACATGTGTCTAACCTTCGTCTTAACTCTCCCCGAGGGACTTGACAAACAAAAGGCGAGGAAGAAAGGAAAGGTGTTGCTGAGACTTCGGAAATCTACAATTCTCAATTGCTAGAATTGAGGGCCGAGTATGAACGCATACGAATGGAACTACAAGAAAGAAAATTGGTTGATGATGAAGAGGAGATGCCATACAAGAGGGAAATGCGAATACGTGGAGCGGAAAAATGAATTATTGAGAAGAGAGAGAGGGAAGTGTTGCTACGTCAATAAAACATGGCCATTCTTTTAAGGGTAAATACTATATATTAGCCACAGCTATTAAGCAGCGGGGAATAATAGCCACAACTATCAGAATATAAATTATTTACCAAACGTTAACTCTCTGTTAATAATTCCGTCAGATGATGCTGACATGGCTCCCACATGGCAGTAACCATATAATATTTTTTGTTTTAAAAAATAAATTATTAAAAAATTAAGAAAATGGAAGGGAAAAAAATCCTAAAAGGTGTAATCTTCTTCTTCCTCCACCATCGACATTTCGTCTCCTCCCTTCCTGCTATCGCTTCACTGTTGCCAACATCATCGGCGAAGCGAGAAGTAGGGGATGGCTGGGATGACAGTTGGAATCGAAGAAAACCTGGCGGGGAATGGAATAAGGATGCGGCTGCGAGAAGGAATTGAAGGAGACTGGGGATGCGGTAGGGATTGACTGGGGATTCGACGAGATGCTGCTTTCCCACTTTGTGGATAAATCAACGAATTTATCCCCTTATCTTTCGGGGACTTCGCCTTCTTAGTCGTCGCGTACTTTGCTGCTGGAGACATCGCACCGGGGTCGTCGTTGAAAGGATTCGAGGAGGAGGAGGTGGCGGAGGTGGAGGGATTGAGGCAGAGGGATTTGATTGGAGGAGGTGTGGCTGGGGAAGAAGATGAGGGGGGCATTGACCCTCCATTTTTTGTTTTGAATTTTAATGTTAGAAAACTATAACTAAATATTAATATTACGTGGAAGGTGATGTGGTTGATGACGTAGATTTTTCCGTTACAAAGTTAATAACGGTAACGGATTGTTAGCCATTCGTTTACGCGTAACAATAGTTATAGCTAATAATTAGTATTTTCATAGGAACACTTTTACTATGCTATAAAGCATTGGTGCTTTAATGTATAACTTAAAGTTGTACCATAACGTTAAATGTATAAGTTTAGGTTGTACCATAAACGAATTTCTATCATTATGTTATGGTATAACTTCACAACTTGAAGTTGTACCATCACATAAAGGTACAAGTTCAAGTTGTACCATAAAAGAATTTGTACAAAAAGTATAGTTACAATCGGAAGTTGTACCATAACGTTAAAGGGACAATTTCAAGTTGTACCATAAAAGCAAAAATCTATAGCACCAATACTATATAGCATTGTAAAATTCCTCTTTTATAGTTATGGATATAATTTCCTGCTTCGTAATAGTTGTGGCTAATATATTGTATTTACTTTTCTTTTAAAGAATTTGTCCAGACGCAAATAAAGAATAAGTTTTGGAAAGGCAAACAAAGCGACCTTCTGGAATACAATCAAGATTATCCAAAATCTACTACAAACTATTCTTCTAATGCAAGTCATGGTGACGATGGACCAAAAAGTGGGGAGGGAGAGAAGCGGCTTACTATCGACCTTAGTTCGATTAAGGACATCTTATGTGTTTAATCTTTATTATTTTCAAGTATCTTGATCTTGTTATTTCATCTTATCATTAGTGTGTGTTTTTCTTTAAAAAAAAATAGAACTGTAATGTAAACTCATCTTGGATTAACGGCTATTTTCGACAGCAAAAATTTTGCCTAAAAATTTTACTAAAATTTATCGAAAATTTTTCTTTTAAAATGACGATGAATTGTAAAATGCCAATGAAAAGAATAAATTATAATCATCGTAAATATGATTAATGTGAAGGATATTTAAAAGAAAATAGAGCTAAATTTGAGAGGAGCAGGGTTGAAGTAAAACATGAAAACGGTGAATCAAATTTGGGTGTTTGAAATATAAGGGGCTAAATTAACATGGTTGGGGTTGGAGTTACTCTAAGGGCTAATACCACTGGAAATACCATCCTTTAGAGAAAGTGCCATTTATATTACATCGTTTTCGAAAACACAAAAATATTCCAATCCATTAAAGGTTTGTGTCATTTGTGTTACGCGAATTTATGTTGACCGTTAGAATTGACGGTTGACCTGACGGTGGCCCACTTTGTGTCCACGTAGGCGACACGTGGATGTCATGTTGGAAAAAATGCTTTAAAATTTTAAAAATACTTTTTATTAATTATTTATTATTTTAAAAACCTCTCCTTCTTCTTTCACACAAACATCGATCGATCCCTCCAATTTTTCGTTTTTTTGTGCGTCCCTGGTTTTCTCTGATTAACAGCGCATTCCTCCTCCCCCAAAATTGAAACCTAAATCCGGCCACCGCCATGCCATCCCTCAAAACCAGCATGGCCGCTGCTTCCTTCTCCTCCAAACCCTACAAATGGCCTCGCTCCTCTTTCCCTCCTTCCCCTTCTCCCAATTCCTCCGCCGCCGCCGTCCCTCGTCCATCCCCTTCCTCCGCCGCCGCACCGCCGTCGCTCTGTTCGGCCCAGATCAGTTGCGGCAGAGCGTGGCGCAGGATACCACCCTGCGCACACCTCGCTCCTTTTAATGATTCCCGGTACCCAATCGTCGTCTTGAACCCCCATCCTCCTCTGAGTCCTCTCTGCAAGTGGCGAAGCTTTGGACGGCGGCGACGCTGGAGCTTAGGAAGGCCCCAATCTCCGCAACCTGCAAATCGATCCAAACGCAGAGACCTACAGTTTATCGGGGACGCCGACATAGAGAGGTGGAGAGAGAGATAGGAAACCGAAGGATGGTGGGTCGACAGGGACAAGGGATGGGGTGGGGGAATGGGAGTGAATAAATGGGATCTTGGTTTCGGGTTTCTCAATCAAACAACCGCCACTTGCAGAGAGGACTCAGAGGAGGAGGGGGGTTAAAGACGACGATGGGTAATCGCCGGGGAGAGCAGAGCAGGGGCGGAGGCGACGATTCGACAGCTCCGCTCCTCCGATCTCACTCCCAGCAACGATCCGACTTCTTCGCCTCTACTCGCACGCCGATTGATTCCGCCCAGCTCGTCGATTTAGGGAAATTTTTTCCCTATGCGAAGCTAGGGTTCTTCTGTGTTTCGCAGTGGAGGAAGAGGGGAAAGATTGAGAATGAAAAGAGTAAAGGGGAGCCCGAGTCGGTTTTCACTTTTACCTTGGTTTTTTTCCCCAGTAAATAAACCACGTCAGCAAGCCACGTAGGATCCAAGTAAGCGCTGACTGTGCGTTGAAAAGTCGCACAGTTATGTTTAACGGCCCAACTAACAGAGAAGACATTTTAGTATACAAATGGCATTTCGAAAACGATGTAATATAAATGGCACTTTCTCTAAAGGATGGTATTTCCTGTGGTATTAGGCCTTACTCTAATGAAACACTTTATATAAACTCTTAATTCTTTTTTTTTTTAATATATAATCTCTTAATTCTACTTTGACCAAGGTTGTCAACCCGCGGGTCGACCCATGGGTTGACCCACTTTGACCCTGACCCGGTGAGAAAACGCGCCGCATGCACCCGTCGGGTCGACCGCCCCAAGGTACCGGGTTGGAGGTCAAATTGTGTCATTTTTTTCTTTGTTTTGCGAAATGCGCCTATTTTCCGATTTTTCTTTTCGCCTAACTCAATCTTTGGAATCCTAAGATGAACATTTGAATATTAATGTTATATAAGTGTGTGTGAATTTTCACTATATATTGAATCTAAGTACGAAATGTTATTTTGGTGTAATATTATATGTTATAACTCATATGTTAGATGGGATTTGATATAATTTATTAGGATAAGTACAATATAATGACGCTTTTCATATTTCCGGGCTAAATCGGGTGACCCAAGAACCCTTAACCCACTAGCTCAATCGGGTCCGGGTCAACCCGCGAGTTGACAACCTTGACTTTGACTTAATAAATTGTGCACATCTTTAAGTTAAAATTAAAAACAATTGAAACTGTCAATCCCGAGGTAATGCTCATGTATTAAGAAAATATACGGTCCAAAAAGAAATTGTACGCTAGCCAGCTATTCATATTTTATTATATGTACATAGGCCAACCAACTAGGAGGCAATTAATTCCTTCCCCGATTAGCGTCTTGTTGTTGGCTCTACCACACAAAAATTTCAAGAAAAAAACACAACTGATACATGAAACAACTATATATATAATCTTGTCATCATGTGCTTTAATAAAATTCTCCATTCTTGTTATTATCCCTATCTAGGGATCATAAAAAAAAATCCTTCAAAATTTTATGTATATAAATAAGCAATCGACTTTTACCCTTGAAAACCCACACCAAAACACAGCCAAACCAACTCAGCTTGAGAAATATTTCAACTCCCGGAGTTCAATAAAAAACCTCCTCTACTGCTGAGGAAATGGCCAAAGCCAAGAATTCCCTCCTTCTGGCCTTCGCTTTCCTTCTCCTGGTGATTTCCACCGCCCAAAGCAGTACGTATATTAAATTAAACTAGCTTGTAACCCGACCCGTTGGTCGGAGGAGCTGAGCCGAATATTGAATTATTGGGATAACCCGCAGATTCAACCATTAAGCTAAATTGGTCTAATGGTGAGTACCGCCTAGCATATCCCTAATAATCATACCAAAGTGAATATATTGGAACATAAACAGTACATCAAAAGTTGGTACAACCATGAAGTTAGACCATTAAAAACATACCAATGAAATTGAATAACATCGAAAAACTTCAACTTCATTATATAATTACATGAGATCAGAAAGAGAACACCATTAATTTGATTTATAAAACTTTCATCTTGTCGTCATTGTGCTTTCTGGTTTTTGTCAGGCCATGATAAAATCTAAGGAAATCAAGAACGAACAACACGATTTGGGATAGGAACCGCCGTTGTCGTATTCCTAGAGAATGGTGGTAAACACGGACTCACCTGCCAAACTGGTTTGGATTGAGATTTTTATCGGGTATCAGGGAACCATGTGATTATAAATTAGACTTGATCAAAACGGGCCAAAACTTAAAATTCAGCCTGTTTGACCGACCCATGCAAAATTCTAATTATTCGTTACTTTTAAACTTTCTATTTGAAAATAAAAAATAGTGAAAGAAAATAGATGACTGCAATTCGCCATTTGCACATCACTTATTCGGGAATAAAACCATAGAAATTCAAAAGAAACTGTTAGGATCGTTTTAATGTTTAAAATAACCAAATAGATCTTTCTGTTTAGTTTTTTACTAACAAATACCAAACGATTCCCTATAAAATACACTATAATTTTATCATTATGATATCAAATAATTATATAATATATATTTGAAATGATAAAAATTGGACTAATTGGGTTGGTCGAGATTGAACCATTGAATAACTTTAAACTACATTATATTTTAGCCACTAAAATATAAAATAATATAATAATATATATTATGCTAGAGAAAATAGCTTGTTTTAGAATGTCAAACCAATGATGTTCATTTGTTTTACTTGATGGCCAAATCCGGTGTAGGTCAGGCCCATTCAACTCTTTTATTTTATGGTTAGCGGTTAGCCCTTTAGATACCATGCATTAGTTTATTGTTAAATTTTTTTTATTTTTAGCATAAAAAGAAGTATTGTTTTTGCCTTTTCATATATATTTTATCACCACGGAGAAATACAAGGGGTTAAAGAAAAAAATTGACACTCCTGAACCCGTTTAAATCCGCATGTGTACGGTAAGTTGGCCCGTTCCACAGAGGAAAGAGAAAAAAATTAACACTACCTATTCTACCCTTCCTACAAACGCTCATGGAGCAGGGAATTTGAAATGGGGGAAGGGGTTTTTCCTCCCTGCTATTATATGTTTTTGATTTAAAAGGATGCAACAAATGTACTTAGTGTGATTGGTTATGTTCCTTGCTTTTCTTTAAAATGGACATGGTTCGAATCCCAGTACGTGTCTTTTTAATGAATAAAAAAAAGTAATTGTGAAGACCAAAATGTCCTTCCTACTTTCACTCTCGTTGCAGGAAATTTGAAATGGGACTCCCGTTTTTCCCTTCGGTGTATTATACTATGTGTAGATATATGGCTAGTTGCTGCACTCGTTAATAATGGCTAGTTGTGTAAGTTATATATTACAGCAATAATATTGACTAATTAACGATTTTGAGTGCAGCGGCATGCGTACAAACGTGTAATAAGGCTGTCCAGGTGAAGAAGCACGACAGCTGGATGGAGTTGCTGCGACTTTTCGCATGAGCAGGACCAAATTCCTTTCTTTCAACCCAAATTTGCCTTGCAGGCGTCTCTTCGTCGGTCAATGGGTTTGCATCGGAGGCGTAGCGTGTTAATCGGAATTATATGGAAGAATTAATAACCACAGTGTATGTGGTCGTGCATGTTTCCGTTTATGTCATATTTCCTTTTCTCTATTTCCACTTTCTTGTAACTGCACACACAAACCCGGCCTGCTGGTTTCTTTTAGTTGGGATTCCTAATCAAAGCATGCAAATTCCGAATGAATAAAGAAGAAATAAAGTTTGTGTAATGCATGGAAATGTTCACGGCGCAATCTGTGCACACCAAGTTTAAGCTTGAGTGTTTTGTTCTGGAGTTTCTCGCACACCAAGTGACAGTCGAGTTCGATGTGTTTGGTGCGCTCATGGAAAGTTGGATTTTGTGCTATGTAAATGGCACTCTGGTTGTCGCAGAAGAGAGTCCCTGGCTGGGAATGATGGATCTGGAAATCTGCAAGAAGATAAATGAACCATTGGAGCTCGCAAGATGTAAAAGCTAGTGCTCAATATTCGGCCTCACAGGAGGAGCGGGAGAGTGTCTTCTGCTTCTTGCTTTTCCAGGAGATGATTGAATCACCGAGGTACACACAATATCCAGAAACAGAACGATGGGTGTCGACACAAGCTGCCCAGTCAGAATCTGTGTAAGCTTTGAGGTGGAATGAACCCTTGCTCGGATAGAAGAGACCAGTGGTGGGAGCAGATTTGAGGTAACGTAGAATCCTTTCAACTGCTTTGTAGTGAACTGTGCTAGGATTGGACATGAACTGGCTAACTTGCTGTGTTGCGTAGCTGATATCAGGCATTGTCGTAGTTAGATAAATCAACTTCCCAACCAATGTTCTATATAACTCAGGATCATGGAAAGGAGTAGCACATTCTGAACTGAGATGTAACTTGTAATCCATTGGTGTAGAAACAGATTTAGAATCAACACTACAGAAAAAAGACCATTTAATCACGGTATATCCAGTGTTTAAAAGTGTGTTTCCTGTGTTTAATAGTTTTATTCACTGGAAAATTATCGTAATATATACCTCCGTGTTTAATTGTAAAGGTCACGGGAACTTTGTACCGTGACTAGGGCTGCAAATGAGCAGAGCTGTTCGCGGTCGGCTCGGCGTTCGACTCGAGAAAAGCTCGTTCGAAACTCGACTCGTAAATAAACGAGCCGAACACGAGCTCACCTTTGTTCAGCTCGTGAAGCTCGCGAGCTAGCTCGACTCGGTGGCTTGTTGAGCTAAACTCGTGAGCTGGCTCGTTTAGAGCTCATGATATGTCTTAACTTGTAGTTAGAGAGCCAGCTCGATTACCAACTTATGGACGAATCAATCTATATCTTATGATTTTAATTCATATGGTTGTTAAATTATATATCTCACCATATATAAAGCTTAACAATTTGAGTATGCGAGCAAATATATCTTATTTTCTACTTTAAAAAGAAATTATGCATCATAGATTGCTTCGATACAAAATGAAGTACCAATTAAAAGTTAAGATTTTTATAAACAAGCTAGCTCGAGCTCGAACTCGACTCGTTTATTAACGAGCCAAACTCAAGCTGGGGTAAAACTCGACTCGGCTCATTTGCATCCCTACCGTGACTAGTTATAACTAGTCACTGTATGATTTCCCGTGATAATATATACTTACTAATCACAGGAGGCCCTATGACTAATGCCAAGTCTTGCCACACAAAACCGAGAAATAAAACTCATTTAGAGACGGGATGTAGAGATTTTAACACAGTATTTACCGTGATAAAATTGTTTCCCGCGACTAGATGCCAATCGTTAGTCACGGTATTTGGCTGATTCTCCTGTGTCCAGATGCTAACATTTGGTCATAGTATTTGGTTAATTCTCCCATGTCTATACACTAACATTTGGTCATGGTATTTAACATATATTTTCCCTAATTAATTGCACCTGGTTTTCTTTCTTTCTAATGCTTCGTGTTTGAGCTTATAGTATTGAGAGTCAAACTAATAAAATGAAGATACAAATAACCTTACAGATGTCCACAACTAAAAGTCATTACAAATGATGTCCCCTTAATAGCCAAAAACAAAGTCATTACAGATGATGTTCTTTAATGAAATGATGTCCCCTTAATAGCCAAAACAACCTCACTTCTGCGGTTCATCTTGTAGATCGAAATGATGAGTCAAAACATGTCAAGTGAAAGAAGCTTCTGTCTTGTTATAAAAGGCGCCAAGAATGACATCAAAATGTGGCCCCTGCATCCATACAACATAGAATAAGTTCGTTAACTTTATTTTTCCAAAAGAGAGCTCTATTCACCCATTTCCACTAAGGAACAACAGCAAATCTACAGAACTCCAGCAATTACAAAAACCTATTTGGGTGCAGAGGCTTGCTTAAACATGGAGATAACAAATGGAACTATTGGTTAACTATTTTGAACATTCTTCCCCAAGACCTAGACCCAAGTGAACTCTACAAATAGCAGATTACCACAAATTCTGTAACAAATTGGTATGAATTCATTATGCATACTTTAACCATTTATAAGTATGAAAAAGTAGAAGAAATCAACGAACTGATCAATAAGCATAAAAAGAAGAATAAAGGTATTGTAGAACACAACACAGCTCTAGTTATAAAAAATAGGAGCAATACTGTAAACCAACAGGAAAAAGTCATGACAGCAATAAATAAAATGTGCCGACAACTAACGCCTTGCCAATTCTTTCAACCAAAACTCATTACAAGTGAATAAAGGCATATGGTATAACCTATGCCAACCTCCTTAATGCAAATGCTGACTTTTCGTGAAGCTACACATCCAAAGCCTCGAGCATATCAATCAAGCAGAACTCTTGTGCCACAAAGAAAGAAAAGAAAGATAAAAGTCAAATTATCATTTGCATTCACCATTACATAGTGCCTCAAGGAGCAAACCTAGACGGAAAACAAGAAAAAGAATAAAGAGACTGGGCAACTATATTATAAGTACAAAAAACTTGCTCTTTGATCACTGCCAGCAATGCCTTCCTGGGTAATTCAAGCCCCTGCAAAAGATAACATTAGTCTAGCAAAATAAGAACCCAGCTTAATCTTGTTGAAAAGGGACCCAAGCAAAACCCAACTTGAACAGCCATCATAAGAATGCAGGAACACCAACTGTCAGTTACACACCTTTCTCAAATCCCTATATCTAGAAGCATGGACACCATAAAAATCAAGAAAGAAACCAAATATATCTATGAACACAAGCAGGTGGTCCCATTAGTGATTTCTCCGAGTGAATTCCCACATTTTTAAGCATTACAATGTCTCTAGCACTCTAACAGTACTGCTTGAATGCTCTATCAGTGTTCTTAACACAACTGAGAACCTGCAAAACCAAATACAACACGTACAAAGAACTTGAGACAATACTGCAAGTATTATCCAGAACACCAACTAAATTATCTACACCAATGAATTTCAGAAGGGAGCTAATCAAACCGAAAAAGAAAGAAAGAAAGAAGTAGCATATAGCGTTCTGGGCTCAAAGCAAGCCTTCCAATCCATAATTCATTTTTATCCTGAAATCACAGATGCTGAAAGATAAAACAATACACAATAGTATAGAAATAGATACACCGAAATACTATATGTAAATCAGTCCTCCCCTTCGGGATCTACCTTTAACAAAAATTGGGAGCAACTAGTGACAACAGAATAGAGATAGGAATGATAGAACTGGAAGTTTAAACGCCTAACTAAAATAACATACTAAGGTTTATCCACCCTAGAAACATGATCCAAATGAGAAGCTAACATTTTACAGTGACATCATTCAGAAGATTATAAGATCCATCCACGTTGAATGTATGCAAATCAGGACACATCACTAAAAGAATTTTTAAGAATAAGACTCTAGTTCCAAAGTAAGACCTTCTAAGTTATAGGACGATAGAGCAGTCTATTAACCTTTCCAACCTTAAAATTTGACACATCTAGCATCCAACATAGAATTAGTTTATTGATTGTTAGCTTGTTTCAAGATTACAAAAGCATTAGAAAATATTACTGTGCGGACCAGGAGAGCGCTATTAACCCATAACAGAAACGGCTCTCACCTCTGATGAAAAGCTATATCAAGATTCCTGCTAGAAATCTCCAGCAAGCAGATGAATAAGAGTTTACTTTAATGTATATGAGAAGAGATAACTATACAAGCAACAATAAATCAAATCCCGGTCACTACGTGGCCAACAACATTAGCAAGAGATTGCTCAATTATTTAACTGAGAAGTTATACTCACATGATTTCATAGCAAGAATACTAGAAGCCTGTGTTTGATTCGTTTGGTAAATCTATTTAGGATGCAAAGTCACATGAAAACGTCAGCAATGATACAGCAAGGCACACAAAAGAATCCTCATTATCACTGTACGATCCAGAGCTATTGGTTCTGCTTTGCATGTCCAAAACTACACCCTCAACATAGCTAACCTCCTGCCGCCAGAACAACCAACAAATCCAATAAGTGAGATACTAGAAATCCATAATCTGTTAGTATCAAAGTCAAGTGAAGACTTTTTAAGCTCAGACAAATAGAAATTACTTGTCATTATACATCTGCAACATCTTAGCTCCATGCTTTGGAATATGTATCTTCCCCCACGAAGCTCAGCATGACATGGACATCTTCATGCCCACATAATTGCAAACTTCTAAGTTCAGAGACAGAGACAAGAAGAATAAATTACAGACAAAGCAAACATGTCTGGTATTAAACACAAAACCACTTCAGAGGTTGGGCTGGAACTTGTACTTTCGGCACAATGTCTCTTTATTCTTAATCCTGATGCTTGCTTGAGTCCTCATGACTTATGCTTTCTCAAGTTGTAGCAGATGAGAGAGGCTTAAGTTAAGCAACTTCATGAGTTATCAAGAAGAAGTATAGCAGTAAAAAAATTACCAAAGACCCCAGATACTGGATTCAAACACAAAATCCTAGATTACTGAAGAACTCCAAATTATTAAACACAACCCATGTTAACACAAACCAAACACCAATCCTTAATCTTGGAATCGCAAACCATCTAAAAACCCTAAATTAACCAGGCCAGTAACCAAAATTATTTAACAAACTTAGCTGGCCAATATAGACGTATGAAGGAATTGAGAGTGTATAACCTAGATTCCTTATATCAAACCTACCGATAAGTTGTGCATGTCCAAGCGTCCACCATTTTTGGCGAAAGTAATCATTAACGATGACTTCCTCTGTCTCCTCTAAATTGAGAGCGGGAAGGTAGGGTGGTGACTTCGTCTCCAGCGGGCCCAAAGTTCCCGGTGCTTCCCTCCCACGGTTGAAACCCCATACCTAGAACCATGTCCTTGAGAGCCTGGATGACTGAAACAGACAACACCAAGACGCTACAAATCTATCAAGATTTGCACGAAACCACATTAGAAATACTCAATACGGAGCTCAAATTATGGAATGGGATAGAATAAATTGGATTTTGTTGTGAGAGAGGGGTTTACCAGCTGGGTAGAATCTTCAAGGAAGTTAAGTGAAGTTGCCAGCGGGAGCGAAATGGAGCTTGTTGATTTCAGAGTGTTAGCCCTGATGAGTAGTCTTCGCTGAATGGATTTCAGAGGTCGAGTAGGAGACGTGCAAAGAGAAGAGGGAAAGAGAATGGCGAAAACCTCATCTACATGGTACAACCCAGATCTATAATTCATGATTGAGATTTGATGCGAAGAAGAGGGAAAACGAATCAGGATTGTCGTGGAGTCTGAGGCTCTGAGCCGGAAAGAGAATGAAATTGGAAGTAAAAGAGGGGGGGGGGATAGAGAATCGACTTCCACTTTTGCTTTTATTTTACGATGGGAATCCGCTCGAGGAGAGAGGGAACATAAATCGTGATGTGCAACCCCCACCTCACAACCGCAAAGGCCAAAACTAATGAAAATAGGGTGGCGGGATAATTTTCGTTGGCGGCTTTTTGGAGCCCAAACGAAATTTTGTTTG